AGGTTGGTACAGTCATCAGGATTCAAAGCCAATAAAGGCCAGAAGTTTGAATGGACAGTTTCTGGCCAGCATTCTTTCAAGACGTTGAAGGAAAAATTGGCCTCTGCTCCAGTTTTAAAGCTTCCAGATCCCTCACTGCCGTACATACTGGATTGTGATGCTAGTAATGTCGGAATTGGAGGAGTGTTGTCTCAGAAAGTGGGCGAAAACGAACATGTGGTGGCCTACTTCAATAGGGTTTTGAGTAGACCGGAGAGGAACTACTGTGTAACACGGAGGGAACTCCTTGCTATAGTAAAGAGTCTGACATATTTCCATCCTTACCTCTATGGTGCAAGGTTTATCATCAGGACAGACCATGCTGCGTTACGCTGGTTAAGATCATTAAAGAACCCAGAGGGACAACTAGCACGTTGGATCGGAAAAATAGACCAGTTCTCGATATAATATTGAATATCGAGAAGGAAAATCCCATGGTAATGCTGATGGACTGAGCCGAAGACCCTGCAAAAATGACTGCAGACATTGCTGCAAAAGAGAGGTTGAACTAACCAGGTGCCATCAAGCTGAAGTAAAGCCGACTGAAAGAGTTGATGATGGTGAAGTGGAACCAAATATAGATATCAAAGCTGAACAGGAGAAAGACCAAGATTTGAAGCCAATAATTGATTTTGTAAAAGCAAGTGTTTTGCACCCTGCTTGGGAGAAGGTGTCTAGTCTAAGCCCTGTGACAAAGAACTATTGGGCACAATGGGACCAGTTGAAACTTGAAGACGCTATTCTTTACCGGAGATGGGAAACTGCAGATGGGAAAGTGACGACCTGGCAAACGGTTATACCAAGGAAGTTACGGGAAGTTGTGTTGTGTCAATCCCATGATACTGTAACAGGAGGACCTCTCGGAGTTAAATAAAAAAAAAAGAGTAAAACATAAAAAGTAAATAAACAAGAGTATTAAGAATTATGAATTTTAAAATGAAGTAGTGATCCTGCTACAAAAAGTAATGAAACAAGAATTAGAACCACAATCATAAACTCATAAAACTTAATCCCTACTTTTGCAGCTTTATACACTTATATCTAAGCAAAAGTAAGGATTAAATTTTATGAATTTGTGCATGGGGTTTTATTTCTTGTAAAAGTTGTAGCTATCAGGGATATTGTTATACTAAAAGATTAAAAATCCAAGTTAAGTAGTTAGCACACTACAGTAGGATCACTTACAAAAGTTGTAATATTTTCAAAACGAGACTCAAAACTCGAGCACTTTCGAATAGCTATTTGAAAGCACCAAAAGATTATAGATGTTGTTTCCATTCCATGAACATAGAAAAACTGAACAAATAAATAGAAAAAAAATAACGGAAATTAGGGATCGTTAGTTATTCGTAGAATTACTATAAGAAGTATTCAAAACAAAATAAATGCTGAAATAAAACTATACAAACAAGTGAAGTGGTACTAGCTGGATAGATTTTAAAATGATTTTCAAATCACTTCTATTTATCCCTCATAAATACATACTTGATCCAGGCCACACATTGTAAAGGACGAATGATGCGAAAAAATACAGCTGTCACATGTATTACCATTTTAGTTTCTCCAATTTCTATTATAATCTTAACTGCATTTATCAACTTTAACACTCCTACTCATAAGTTTATCGCAGTCTACTATATGGTATCAATTGTCAGTATTTCAAAAAACAAAACATTATAGAGATTTAAAAAAAAATCGTACGAATACAACCTACTTATATCTAATGAGAAAGAGAGAAAATACCAATGTAATTTTAATACAACTACATTTAAAATATTGTTTAATTCAAGTGAACCCCAATATTTTTCTAAATTCTCACACACACACAAAAAACCCATTAAAATTTATGATTTCAGACAAATATTTCAGATGAAATCGTATTTTTCATTAAGACATAAATAAGGGGAAAATTATAATTTTAATGGAAAGTAGGAATCGTTGGTTAATTGTAGAATTGCTATCAGAAGTACAACAACCAAAGTTAGACTGTTTCATTTAGTTATACGCATCACAATGCCAACCAAACTAGGGATTGACCCATTTACTTTTTGGGATATTAATTATTATACTTTTATTGTCCCATTTCCTACAGACTAAAGACATTACTTGTATTACTTAGACAACGTAGTGTTAGTGCTAGAAGTAGTATACTAGGCTAGTTACTATCTTGTGCCGCCGAAACCTTTCCCTCGTCCAAATTCCATCCGTTCGGAATTTCAGTAAATGTTGAATTTTTTCTAACTTTTTGTTTTCTCCAAAACATATTTTGTAAATATTTATTTATGTGAGATAAAATAATACTGGGTCTATTATTTATTTATATTAATTTATTTTGTTCTTGACAAGCCTGATTGAACAATCATATTTATACTAACTAAGTAATATTTATAGTAACACTAGTAACGCTAACAGTAACAATGTCAAAGCAAGAGTTAGTAGTTTTGTTAGTAATAGTACTAATAGTAATATTTAACTGTTAGTTTCTATTCTAGTTTTAGTAAAACCAAAATCTTGGTATATTGTTGCACTGGAACTTCCAAGAAAGTTATATTTTAACTTTCAGTTTTACCATTCAGAGTAAAATATGCTCACCTTATAAATCGAAAATGTAACCCATCTTAGCTAGAAATAAAGGTTAAAATTGTAAGTGCTTGACTGTTGCATTTTATAACTTAAGTTATGTATAGTTTTGTTATATATACTTATGAATCTGCAGGTTTAGTTTGGCATAGTTTCTTTGTTTCATAACAGTTTTCATATAGTTATAAGGAAACATTGAACCAGGGACTTGTTGTAGAATTCATGCCACAACATATTTAGGCTGGCATGAGTATACATGGTGCAATTAGGAGGCTGACCTGACATTGACATTCCTATTAGTTTGACAAGACATATATATGGCCTGAAAGAGCTTTCTTCATGATTTTTTATTTCGAACAGTCTTTCCAACATAAGTATTTTCAAGTTTAAAATGGAATGAATTAGAAGATTAATTGTACTGATGGGTTAAATTAAATTTCTTTTCTGTTTTTATGATCATTGAAGTGTAAAATGGAATAACGAAACTTTTTTGTTTCCTCAGCATATGTGTGCAAGTATTTAGATTTATGTAAAAGACTAAGTAGTATGTGATGTGACTAAAATAGGATTTGTATCATTTTAACTGTTTTTTTTTCTACATATAACAAAAAAATAAATACAGTAGATATCATGACCCTATATTAGGGATAGAAATAATGAATTAAAATTACATTCACTCGAGGGAAAGCTATTGGGAAGAGTAGATTTCCTCATGAATTGTTTTTTTATTTAATCCATGCAATATGTTCTCTTTCATCGGTCACAACTAACGGAATACGGATGGACCGTACATTCCCAAATGTGAAAGCCAACTAAAAAGATGAAATTCCTCAAGCAAAGTTAAATTCCTCGGGGATGTGGGAATTTAATATTATGTATTAAAGTTGATAGAAATAAGATTTTAAAATCAGTCTCAAGTTCAACAGGGTTAAACATGTTTCATTGACAGACTCCATTCAAAGGTAAAGAAAGTGTCATCTCTGTCATCTACTCTATCACATAGATCTGCAGCAATGGGAATAGACAATCTCTTTAAGTCATATGACGGGAATATGCAGCAAACCACATAACAAAAGCTATTTCACAACTATTTCACCATCCCTGCACTGATATACCATGCTGAAATTGGTGAATTAGAATAGGTGTCTTGACTGTATATAACAGTATTCTTTTCTTTGCTGTCCAAAAAATCCTACAGTCTATTTAAAAACACATGTTCATAGGCATAAAAATGTGTTTGTTTAAACTGGTAAACACCCACCATAAGGAAACAAAGTTCATCTTCAAATAGTTTATTATCTCTTGAAACATAAAGTGTTAGTTTTATTAAGTCCATCCATCCTCCCCTCACAGCATTCTTTAGTATTACAGTACTTATGATGATAGTTATATTTTAGCTGATACACACCTAAGAACCAAGTTGATTATATATATATATATATAATGGAAAATAAATGTTATTGAATTTCCATTAACATAGCAATGAGAGAAATAAAAAAAAAGCATGTAACATTACAATATAAAAAGCATTTAAACATTACAACATTGTGCTATGTTCATTATACTAACTGGAAAAGAAATTAGATGTTAAAACATTCCAATAACACAGCACCAAAATATATATAAAAATATTTAATTATAAACAAAACCACTGAAATCTAGAACGAAATTATTGAAGTATTCCAACAATGTGACGTATTTATTATACTAACTAGAAATGAAAATATCTGTTAACGTATGAAAGAAGCATAAGTATGTTACTAAAATGTTTAAAAACATTTAGAACAGTTAATGATAGTCTTAACCCTGTAAACACCGTACTATGTCACAAAATATGACAGTTTGTATACATTGTCGTAGCTTGCAACTTGGATCTTAGTGAGGTTAGAAGAGATACAACAATTGTGGTATATTACCCCTTGCTAAACACGTCTTTACATTTTAGATTGGTCTCACATACGGTTGTTCGGTGTAATACCATAACACTGTGATGTTGCTGCAAAATACCACAATCGTTAGAACCTATCTGTCTGTGAATACGTACGTGCTCAATGACAACAGCTCGTGATTATAGATTGTCTGCTTATTTGCTGTTACATCCAAGGCTGTCAGGTATATACAAATTGTATAAGACAGCAGTGTTGTATAGAGTGGTTGTGAGGTGTAATACCATAACACTGTGATGTTGCTGCAAAATACCACAATCGTTAGAACCTATCTGTCTGTGAATACGTACGTGCTCAATGACAACAGCTCATGATTATAGATTGTCTGCTGTTACATCCAAGGCTATCAGGTATATACAAATTGTATAAGACAGCAGTTAGGTCAGCACTGTTGTATAGAGTGGTTGTTAGGTGTAATACCATAACACTGTGATGTTGCTACAAAATACCACAGTCGTTAGAACCTATCTGTCTGTGAATATGTACGTGCTCAATGACAACAGCTCGTGATTATAGATTGTCTGCTTATTTGCTGTTACATCCAAGGCTGTCGGGTATATACAAATTGTATAAGACAGCAGTGTTGTATAGAGTGGAGACATGAGCACTGAGAATGAAAGAAGAAAGTTTGCTGGAAAAGTTAGAAATGCTACATTGGATGATGGGATAGATACTAGAAAGTGGGCTAGGGTGTGTAAAATAACAGAAAAAGCATGCGAGGCTAGATTGAGGTTGTATGGGCATGTGGAAAAAAAGATAGAAAAATAACTCTGTTAGAAGAATAATTGGAATGCTAGTTGAAGACAGATGGAGTAGAGGATGTCCAAAACTGAGATGGAAAAATAGGCTAGATCAAGACCAGAGAGAGAGAGGTTGTAATGGCAGAGGATGTGGAGAAGGACTATCCTGGCAGCCAACCACAAAATTGGATGGGTTTAAGTTTTAATGAAGAAGAAAAAGAGGGGAAGGCTTGATAAATATTTGAATAATAAGAGCTGGCTTTTAGGGTGTTTTTGTTAACATTAGTTTAGTGGATGGAAAAGCCTAGATGGATCAACAGGCCCTTTGTTGTCCTTAGATTTTATTTTATATGTTAAGGTGCATGACCCTACTTCAGGAGGCCACGACATACATATAGTCAAAGAAATGCAAGTCCTGTGTACCAATTATTGTATAAAGTACAGGAATGTTGCAAGTTTATGATCACACCTTTGATGTAGAAGTATATTTACATCTACTTGTGAAACACCTCCAAATATATATAGAACAATTACTTAAATATAGTTAAATAAAGATATATTCTTCACCAGTTATGGAAGGTCACAGAAAGTACAAAGTTATATTAGTGGGTTATCATAATTGCACACATAATTTAAATATAATCCTATTAATTTATTGAATAATAAAAATGATTTTGAGATATTAGTTGATACAACTTTTAAACTTTCAAGAACATGTTCTGTTACATATGGTAAAGCTAACTGAATTTGAAGTTAACGGAATGCACTACGAGTTAAAAGAAATGATGGTTTTTATTATGCGAGTGACTAGTTAGGTGTATTGTGTGCAGTTTTGTTCCATTTATCTTAGGAAGGACATTATTCGAGAGGTAGGCTAGTCGGTGAGATTGGCACATCACCATTTTTTTCTGTTAACTTCCAATGGCATTAGGACGATATTTCATAAATTTAACATATATACAACAAGGCCCAGAACAGTTTGGTCCTTGTATGCTGTTTCCGGCACCATCAACCCAAAGACAAAGAACATAAATTTAACATATATACAACAAGGCCCAGAACAGTTTGGTCCTTGTATGCCGTTTCCTGCACCATCAACCCAAAGACAAAGAACATAAATTTAACATATATACAACAAGGCCCAGAACAGTTTGGTCCTTGTATGCCGTTTCCTGCACCATCAACCAAAGACAAAGAAAATTAAACACATCTTTTATTTGTTCATTCAATTATCTATTCCTTCCTCTTAAGGTCTTATAAGGAAGCAGTCTGTAGTTCAGATGGTGGCAACTCATTCCATGAGTTAGTAATCCTGTTATAAAGATAAAACTGGAGCCTTTTCTGTCTTTCCCAAACTTTAAACTTGAGTTCTTTCCTTTTATTGTCTTAAGAATTAAGTACAAAGTGGGTTTTATTCTGTCAGTACTTCAGATACTTTTGTAAATTAAAACTCCACTAAGGTTGCCCACTAACCTTCTTTTATTAAGAGAAAAATAGGGTAAATGATATTTACCTATTCCATTCTTTGAATCATCCTAGCACTTAGCACATCTATGAATCCTTTCAAGTAAGTCGTTATCCTCTGTTAACTATGAGGAGTGTACACAGGAATTTTAGTGGCCTGAATAGTGACTTGTAATTACTGTACCTGTACGTACGTTCTAAAATGTAATTAGCTTTATTACAAGCAACAGAGAACTGATTTGATGGCGTTAGTAACTTACCTACTGCTACACCAATATACTTTTGTTCTGTCATGTTAATGAGTGGGGTCTCTTCCATATTAAATATGTGATCCAATGTATAATAACCCATATGATTTTCTGTGCACTTAGTTTGTATATGATCTTTAATTATATTATTTTTCCATCATGCACACTAATTGTAGTGCCTCAACATCCTTAATACAGCTAGAAATACCCGATCATTAAGAAAACTGTACTAATTATGTTCCTATCAATGTTTTTAACGTAAATAATAAAAATCCTGAGACACGTATTTGATAACAAATGTTTAGTTTAACTGGATTCTTTTAATTATTATTTTTTTGCTTTCTCTTATCCCGCCACCCTTGTTTTTCTAATATTTTTATACCATATAATTTTTTTCAGGTTTCTTTTCCTGGCATCCAACATGCATGTGTCTTGCAGTAAGTGTTTATTTTATTAGACTTCATACTGAATATCAAAAAATAAAACTTGTGTGTGCATTATATGTTCTAACTGTATTGCTTGTTTCTTGTTAGATTTACATCATTTGTTTTCTGATTTTTATCATAATTAGTATGCCATCTCCTGGCAAAGAAAAAACGAAATAGAGTAGTGTAAAATATAACATGTTATTCAAGTTTGGCTTTTGAACTTCTGCTTGGCTGTTTATAACTTTTCACAAAAAACTAAATTTTTCGTACCTAAACTTTTGGACTCTTACATGTATGTAGCTGTTCAAATCAGACTAGTTACATTTGTTTTACTGAACATGAAGAATTTCTGTGAAAGTATTCTGCAAATGTAGTGAGCAAGAAGTTGGTTAAACTCATGTTAGATCCTCATAAAGTTTTTACTTGGTCATGTAAAGTTATTTTATTTTCATCCACATAGATATTATTGTATACAGGAGGATCAGGAATTCAACTACAGCATGTTGACAGTTGCTGCTATTAAGGGGAAAATTATTTTTTTGTGTTGTGCGTGCATGTTATTCTCGATTAATTGGTTTTTAACAGAAGCTTTGTGCTGGATTATTAGAAGGTAAATCTAAAGTTGACCAAGCTTTACACAAAGAGAATAAACAGATTGGACACTTGATGTAAAGTGTAAAACAATCTTTAATTATTTTGCAAAGCAAAAAAAATCAGTGTGTCTACTTGAGTAGGACACAGAGCTGTTGCCTTCTACTTGATCAATAAATCAGTCAGCAGTTTGTTTCATTGAAAAACAAATAAGCTGTATTAATTCAATGCTCCTTACTTCACAGTAAATGTTGTATTGACACATAATGACTAGCACTATATCAGTCATTCAAATACAACTTTGTAAAGGCTGTAACCTACTTGGCTAGCGAAGCACATTGTTGCACAGTGTGCAGAGTTGCTGCAATATCCTAATGGGTGGAGTAGGTACCATCTACCAGTCAACAACAAAGATATGTAGAATGAAACTAACTCATCAGTTGTGGAACAACATGAGATCTATTGGTCCATCTTGGCTGTTACATCCTCTAAACTAAATTTTAAAAAAATCTTAAAGCCAGCGCTTATCATTCATATACTTATCATGCTTTCTTTTAAACCCAGTTAAATTTACTGCTTCTACAATATCCAAAGGCAGCCGATTCCAAAGGCCAACCCCCCTGTTAGAAAAATTAAACTGTCTTAGCTGAAGATGACTCCTACCCTGCCAAAATGTATATTTGTGTCCCCTAGTCTTACTGTACTCATTGTTAAATATAAAAAAGGTGATACATCAACACTATCAATTCCCTTTACAATCTTAAACACTTCAATCAGATTACCCACCTCAAAACTCTTCTTTTTTCAAGAGAAAACAATTTGAGAGATTTCAGCATCTCCTCTTATGACAACTCCTCCATCCCAGGCACCATTCTAGTAACCCTTCTCTGAACCTATTCCAACAATTCAATGTCCATCCTAAGGTAAGAATC